AGGGACTCAAGAGCTGCTTCTTCAATGCTCATTTTGGTAGCATCTTCCCCACAAAAATGATGCAGAAACCAACAGGAGTAAAGTGTTGTATTCTTTTCCCTTTTCTAACCCATTCTAGGGGAAAGGATGTTTTCCTCATTTTTCATTAAAACTGGACAAGAGTAAAGATGCTACAAAAAGTGGACACCACACCCTCAGGCTATAGCAACATCCAATTTCCGTGGTGCTGGCAGAAAGAACTTTGGGCCATGAGTTAATGCCGGCTCTGCCCTCAGGTCACTGTGTGACTGTGAAACCCCTGGACTGCTCTGAGCTGTGTAAAGCTGGCTCTTCTACGTGACAGATCAGGACACCAGAGGCAGCAGGAGCTTGGTGATGCTTTAAAACAGGAGTTCTGAGCTGGGATCCACAGGTTCCTCTCTCAAAGCCTACAGCTGAGGAACCAAAATAGTGGTCCCCAGAGGTGGATTTTAAAACACAGGGTTTTAAAGAAAATTGAGTTCATTCCAACATTTAAAAATTAGGAGACTTTAGATCTTAAAATCTGGATTTTTCAACTGCTCTTGAAAAATACCAGAATGTCTGGCAACGCCAGACCACAGCTTAACATGAAAACAATCTTTTGTAGTTGAAGGTTGGCTGCATCCTTTAGACCAGGCCTGAGCTCTCTGTGTCACCACTGTCCCCACTGCAATCAGCTTTCCTCTTTTAGACCACCTCCCTGGACCCTGTAGGCATCTGATTGGTTAATAAACCTAACTACATTTACTAGTGGTCCAAGGCAGCATGTGCCTGGCACCGACCAGGAATTTACAGATATAGGCACAAGATGGCCCCAGAAATTCAAGGGAAAGAGAGCTCTAGGAAGTTGGGAAGGACAAAAGAAGCAGGCAAGGAGCTGAGTGAGAAATGTGTGTGGTGCTGTTGGGGGGTCCATTCACAGAGTAGGGGGTCTGTGCAGGGGAATCTGGGGGATAGGCTGAGAGTGATAAGTTGACCCCTATTGTGAGAAGGAGGGCCTCGAATGCCAAGTGATGTCATTCTCAGCTTTCCATCCAGAAACTGCAGACATAATGTGGGGTTAGGAACTAAGGTTGCCAAGCTAACCCTACATGCACTTCCACTCCCAACTTCCTGATGAGAGTGGAAGTCAGAGCCCAGGCCTCAAGAAATACAAGGTTGAAGACAAAGTTCTCAACACCTCCCTCAGCCTTCACAAATTCCCCCTTCCAGAGGTTTCCTAATGCAGCCGGAGCATCCCACAAAGACCCAGTGGCAGCAGAGGGCAAATTTCCAGGTCAAATTCTCCCAAAGTACCTCACGGGCAAGAATGGGAGAAAGAAAGAAAGAAGGAAAAAAACTCTCCTTTCAGCTTCATTAGAGCTCTTGCTTAACTGAGCTAAAAATAAAACTAATTGCTTTTGCTATTCTAATGTGAAAAATCAGTTTTTAAAGGATCGAGATTCTCTCCCTGGCTGGAGAAATCATTGAATCAGTAATAGACTGACTGCCAATGAATTATGAATGTCATAATCAAGCCTTCTTGGAAGACCAAAGTCTTGGTTACAAAGGGGCACTATAATTAGAAATACGCTGAAGCTGCCTAAAGCAGACCCCCTTTGTCTCCCCTGCCCCCTGAGAGGGAAGAGACGTAGGCTGCTCTTCATCAGGTATCTGGCTTGTTCCTGAACAGCGCCTTATTCTCACCATTTGAGGAGACATCTACACAAAAGAGCATAGGAACAGCATCCCTTCCCCCTCTGCCCCTCTAAAAAGCCCCACCAATCTCCCCCAACAGTGACTGGGAGGATGCTTCAATTCCCCTCATCTGTGGCCTGGAATTCTATAACCTAAAGCTGTGCTCGGACAGCAAGCGGCCCCTTTTCAAGTCCAAGAGGGCTGGGGGTATGGGCAGCAGTGTCTATTATCCCCAACTAATGCGAATTAGTTTGATTTGCTCCTTTCATTTGAATTAGCTGAGCCTTGCAGGATGGGGAGCCAAGGAGGACAGGGCATGCGCATCAGGGAAGAAAATGAGAGAAGACCATGTTGAAGACTGAGGATCAAGAACGGACAAATGTGACTAGGGCTGCCTTCCAGCTCCAAGCCCTTAACCAGGAAGGAAGAGAGATCCCCTCCACAAAATCTAGACAATGCAAAAAGCCAATCTGGATTGACAGAGCCAACAGTAACAATAACATCCCTCCAAGAAATGATCATGCCTGAGAAAGGGTTACCTTATCTCATTTTCTTTAGGATGGATCCATTTTGAGCAAAAAATAGCTGGGAGTTGTTGTCTTTCCTCAAATCCTTTACATTTGACTTGGCCTCTAGAGATGGAATCAGTTCTACTCAGAAAGCACCTTCAACAGGAGCTACATTCAAGAGCTCATTTAATCTCAGTCCTGGGGTGGCCAATTGGTAGAGAGAGATCAGGACTCTGCTTATCTCTCAGCCCTGGATTGAAGGTGAACCAAACTTCTCGGTCTCTTGTCCTTCGTGTGTCCAGATGGGCTTAAATGACTGGTTCTCAGCCCTAATTGCACATTGGATTCACCTGGGAGATTTTTAAATGTTGATGTCCAAGGTCATACCCCAGACCCATTAAATGTAATATGTAAAGGTGGCTTTAGGCGTCACTATTTGTTAAAACTTTCTAGTAATTCTAAAGTGCAGAAATGATTGAGAACCCCTGACCTAGTTGATCCCTTTCAGCACCTGTTCTCTTTCTTCCTGCCCCTTCTCTCATTTCCCAGGCCTAAACTGAGGGGTTTCTCCAGCATGAGGGGCTCCGGAGGCAGTCATACCTTTATCTCTCAGGGTGGATACCAGGTTCTGGGGCACATCTCTGTAGCATGTGCCACAGCTCACCCTCCACACACCCCAAATCCCTCCATTAGAAGAGACCTTAAGACACATCTTTATCCAGAGTACCAAACAGGATTCATCCCCCAAGCCAACTCTGTTGGAGCAGAAGTTCTCAAGGACATTATACTGAGAAATCCTTCTCAATAGGACATGTCCAAGCTCAGAGGGAAAGAATATCATGCTCGATTACCAATGTTAACCAAGGGAGCAGAAGGAAATGGTAATACAGAAGCCTAGCATTTGTCGTGCCTCCAAAAAATTTCCTCATCTAACTTACTAAAAAAAAGGAGATCCAGAAAAAGAAAGTGATGTGCGCATTAACCAGTTCAGTATATCAACAAGTTAGCTCAGAAGATTTGGTCTGTGTCTAATACTGCAGAAGCTTGCTACCCAAAGAGAGGTCCACAGACCGAGAGGACCAGCATCTACTGGAAGATTGCTGGAAATGCAGAATCTCAGGCTTCACACAAGACATACTGAATCCAAATCCACATTTTAACAAGTTCCCCTGGTAATTTGTTTCCACAATAAATTTTGTAAAGTACTGCTAGAAGGCAGACAAAAAGATACAAATTGCTGTGGGCTCTGCCACAGTCCAGATGAGGAATACAAAAGGAAGAAAATCAAGCAAAGAGTAATGCTAGGTAGTGCAAAAGCTAGAAAGGCTGTCTGATCCCAGAAAGCTGTGAGATCTGAGTGTGCAAAAGCACAGAAGGCTTGAGAGAGCAAGGGTCCTTTGGGCCAGGTCCTAAAGAATGCAGAATGTCACCTGCCACTTTCCAGCAGCTCTCCTCTCACCTCTTGGAGCCCTCTATCTCTCATCCCCTCCCCTGCCATAGCTCCGGGTATAGATCAGTTGTTTCTGGTGTTAGCCTTCTCTCCCTAACAGGCTTGGGAGCTCCTTGAGGCCAGAGATGGTATCTTCTCTCTGTCCTGTCTCCTATTCATATCCACACAGAAAGAGGCTGGTAAGGACCGCTCAAAACATATGTAGGGTAGAAACTAGGAGGCCAGAGAAAATGGTATGGAATTGGGTGGGGAAATTGCCTCTGAGCAGCATTTCAGTCCCCATTCAAGGTTGTTTTAGAGTCCAGAAAGAGATGGACTTTATTTTCTAACTCTTCCTATATACTTGGCTTCCTGAAGCCCTGGCATCCTTTCCCTGCCCTCGTTAGGTCATATAACTTTACACACATGCACACACACAATGAGGACAACCATAGTAGACACAACAAATACACAGCAGAGAGCAGCAGAAGCAGCTCTGGCCTCTGAGTGGAATAAATTTCACCCTCACAGTGAAAACGTATGAGCAGGAAGGAACAAGCTGGCCCAATTCCTTCTTTTTGCAGAGGACCACACTTGGACTCAGTAAAAAGGTATCTCTTGCCCTAGGTCAAAGAGTGAGCTTCTAACTGAGTCTGAACTAGAACCCAATTCTTATTACTGCCCTCTGCTGAGAACTGCTCTACTAGACGAATTCACACAGGTAATTTCTGATGGTGGCTGACAGTAGACACCCAAAAGATAGACAAGCCTACAATTTGAGGGTTCTTCCCACCTTGAGTTTCTGGAGCAATGAAGTTTTGGTTATGTGCTTGTTTCCAGCCTGCCTTGATACTGTTACCAATAAGATTCCTGCTATAATGCAGCCTTTGCCCCTCATCTGACCAGGAGACCGGCCCTCTGGACTGCATCTTCTCCCCCAGACCAAAGGCACATTTACCATCTGGAGATGTTCCCAGTTGAGGAGTCTCTACTCCAATATCAATAATGCCACCAGGAATTCCTGGCCAGAATATGACTAAAGTTCATAGGGATGAATCTCATTGATATAGTCATATCTGCCATCAGAGAAGAGATGGCATCCAGAGGAGAGGACTAGATCTCTAGGCTCTCAGTCAACAAGCACCCTCAAACAGCAACCAGAACCTCCAGGTCTACCCATGCTTAAGCAGTCATCCCCTCTCCATGTTCGACAGAGAAGCAAGACTGTTCAGGGGAAAGAATTGGTGATATAGGAATAAAAACAATGGATTCTTATCTCAAAATAGTGTCTCATTCATATCCTCTGTTATGAATATATCTTCTGTTGTCTCTTTCATATCATCTACATTCTTTTTTTTTTTTTTCAGGAACCACCAAAGTTTTAGTGTTTAATAATTAATAACATAACTGACCAAGGGCCAAGGTGTTAAAGAAACTGGGAGGAAACTCACTCTATAAACTAACTATATAGTAGGTGATAAGAATGCACACTTCATAATATAAAACCTGTCTACATATAATAGGTAGGCGCAAAAAGCCATTTGGTCTTCTCTTGGCTTGGAAAAATGGTGTTCCAGATTTCAGTGTAAATTATTAGCAACCTTCAACTCTTTGGTGTGCCAGGTATCTTGTTTTCACGTTCCAGTTCTTCCACCTCAGCCTGTGTCATGGGGTCCGTGATGTTTTCTCCAGCTCATCAATGAGACTACTCATATCAATCCTTCCAATGATCTGGTCAGACATGGTCTGAAATTTATCTTGCATCTGTTGCAGGAGTGTCTCCACCACTGAGGTGAGATCCCAGACGGTCTTAGGGTCAGTCTCAGCCATCTCCCTGGTTCCCAGCTTGGCGGTGATGTCTTTCTTGATGAATGTGTCACATCTGTGTTCATTTTCTTTTCTACATAACAGGAGAGTCTTGTACCCAAGAGGGAGATGAAGATGGAGACGGTGGAGCTGAGAGGTTGAAGTAGAAGGAATCACTTCAATCCAGTCTTTAAATGCTACCTAAGAAACAAAACAACGGGATTCTCTTTAGACTTTAGGTATATGAGATACAATAACTGATCACTTATGGAGGCTGAAACCTCTCCTGGTAATTGGTTGTCAAGGTAGGAATGACATGAAAGCTTGTAGTAATAAAGAAAGAGTGTTTTAAAATCAGAAGACCAAGGTTTGAGTTCCAGTTCCTTCAATTACTTGCTGGAAAAGGATCTTAAACTGTATGGTACTCAGTGTCCTCATTTAAAATAGGATCATAATATGTGACTCATAGGAATATTGTTAAGATTAAATGAGCCACTGAGTGACAAGTACCTGGAATACAATAGACACTCAATAAATGGAAATCAATTATTGAATGACTTTTCAGTTTTCTGCAGGGTTTTCAATCTCTCCAAATTGAGTCAGCATGTTTTGCTGCAGTGACTTTCAAATCACTTTAGGGAACAAAATCTTTTTTTCAAAATAAATTAAATATATAAAATTGGAACTTTGGTGGTCCCATCATCCTTTTCCCTCCTGAAGGGTCCCTTGAGACACTGTCCCTGCACCCTTAGAAAAGTGGTAGGGGATGAGCTGGTTTCATGGGAACTGGAAGACCTGGATTCTGATACACATAATGCCACTAACTCCCTCATCCAAGGAGAAACCTTGGATAAGCCACTTTCCTTCCCTGAGTCTCAGCTTTCTTATTGTTAAAATGAAGGGTTTGGGTATGAGATCACTAATGATGCTCTGACTTCTAGAACTCAAGGAAGACTCATTACTGGATCTGATCATTGATTTTTCTTTTACCCATGACTACCACAAACTATTATGATAAATAAACATTTATTGGTACTCTATGAGATAGCTACATTCTTATCACTAGGGTAAGCCTACTACTATTAAATGAAGCAATATTATCACGTTTCCTTGCTCCACACCTGAGCATGTGCCAGAATGTAACATGCAACTATCATACAAGCTGAGGATTCTGGGAATGAGGCTGTGGCTTTGATGGCAGGGGAGGGGAGGGAAAGAAGCAAAAAGTGACATATCTACCTTAGTCCAATTCTCTTTATGCTCCAAAATGGGAAGTCAGGAGCTGGATTTCCATCGGATTTTAAAGACCACACCATTTCTCTTCAAAAAAGAATATATTTAAGCTCAGGACTACCTATCATAAAAGAAGATGAACACTTTCCCATTACTTAGAAGCTTTAGTTAGTGTCCAGAGGGTGTATTACTTAAATGGCAAGTTTTCCTCTGTCTAGTGAAAGACAGAAACTTAAACAGAAGTATGAGGAAGAAAATTCTTGAGGGGGACAGGCAGGGAAAGAGGGTAGTGGAAGGGCCTGGCTCAGGCAGGACTCAAGGAGTCCAAGGAATCAAGTGTAGGTTTGGACAAGATAACAACCAGAATAAAGCCAAATATCTGCTATTCCAGCAAAAGCTATCTGGCAGGATCTGCAGGCAAGGCAGAATGAGCTTAGTGAGAGATTGAAAGTAAAGCTGTAGTTATAAAAATACAGACAAGGGAGTTTGGTCGCATGGTGTACAAAAGTCCTGAACTACTTCCAGCTCCTACATTAACATACAAAAATTTTGTACCTCTCAGAAATGATAGTAGAATCAAGTGAAAAAAACATTTTAGAGCCTTTGAAAACAATTAAATGCCTTTCAAGTATCAGATGCTACTTACTAAGGTATCAGAGAATCAAGGTTTGCAGTCAGCACCAAGGACAGCTGCCAGCTGAGCTAAATGCTTTTCAGGTCTTCTCTGAGCTGTTAGGGTCTTCCAGGATGGGCCTTATCCCTAAAATGACTCTTAGGATTTAAAAGACCATAATTTGTCAGGACAGGCCCACACTGCCTGTAAAGGATACCCAACACATAGGTCATGTGGCAGTGCAATGTTTTTCTAGTAAATGAGCAGGTCAGCTGGGAGAATACATAGTGAATTGCATGAAGTTAATTTCTCAGTGTCCTCTTGGAGCTGAGGAAGGACCTTGAAACACATCAGCAGAAGATAATCTAGAATAGGGGGTCAGAAAAATTTTCATGCAAAGGGCCAGATAGAAAATATTTTGGACTTTTCAGGCCATAGCATTTCTGTTGCAATTACTCAACTATGTCATATAACACAAAAGCATCCACAGTCAATTTGTAAAAAAAAAAAAAATGGATGTGGCTGTGCTCCAATTAAATTTTATTTACAAAAACAGATGGTGGGATAGATTCAATCCACAGGCTCTAGTTTTACCCACCTCTGATGTAGAGGGTCAGTTGTAGATCGTTTTAGGCAGGACTAGGTAATGCTTTACTTTATACATCCAATACATGACCCAATTAGGTAATATAATAAGGGATACTTAAGAAGTGCAAACCACTCTTTTACTATCTTGAATCTCAACTCAGCCTTTATTCTGGATATCTATTTGAGAGATCTCAGGTAGTCCCAGCAAACAGGTGGTGAATGTGTAAAGATTAAGAAAAGGCCCCCCAAAATGTTAATCAATCATAAAAGGTTAATGGAGAAGAGAACCATGAACATGTGATGTTTTAGAGTTGACCTTACAAAAAACATACTGCTTCAACTAGTAAAAGCATTTCCATAATAATTAATAAGAGTGGACTGCTGAGAACTAAATGAGAATGGAAAACCATCACTGCAGCAGAGGCAACTTAAATCAGACACAAGAAGGGGAAGCTCCATGTCAATTAGGCATCTACTTCATACTAGGACCGGCTCTGGGAGATTCGCCTGTTCTTATATTTAATCACCACCACTTCCCTCCAGTTGACTATTACCTCTTTTCAAACATGAGGGAACTGAGGAGTGGAGAGATTAAGTGGCTTGCCCAAGGACATGTAGTTAATGACTGCAAAAACCAAGATGAAAAGGAAAACAGTTTAACATCAGAGCCCATGCTCCTCCCACCCCACTCTCCAACTACCTTCAGATTTAAAGGCTGAGTCACTTCAGGAGGCAAGTCCAGAGAGCTTGTGGCTCCTCTGTCCTCCATCATACCCCCATTTCAACTGGGGCCACTCTGGTCAGTCTCCAGTTCTCTATAGAGCCTTTTCCATGCAGCTCCCCAGATTGGGAACCCCTGGGAACCACTCTCCTGCACTGAAGACCCCCTCCCTTCCTTACATGCAGGGGGCCCCATGACCTTCATGAAGTGCCCTGCACAAGGCGAGGCTTGGCAAAAGTGGGACCTCGAGGGGAGTGAGCTTAGAGCAGGTGAGAATGAGGATGCAGGGGGCTTCCAGAGTTATTCCCCCACTGTCCTCACAGTTCAAAGAGGGCCTGAGTGGCAGCTGCAAACTGCATGTGAAATCTTTCTCTCTGTGCTGTCAAGGCAGGGGGCAGAGGGGTGTTTTAAAGTAAAGCTGTAATATACCTGCAATAAAAGTTTACCAGCTTTTATATAGATTCCCAACAATGAGGGGAGACATTTCAACAGCTTGGATAGTGTGGTGAAAGGAAAAGCAATTTCTGGCATCACCTCTATAAGGTGAGAATTTGCCTCCCTCACATGGTTCATAACTGGAACTTTTTTCTATTTAAAGGGGACTGCATCAAGGTATGTGTCCCTTTAATTCTTTTTCTTTTATATATATATAAAAATAATATATACATTTATTTGTACAATTTGTGGGGTTGTTTGAAACAACACATTGTTTCAATACATCCAGATACTACACAATGATTCACTAGGGTAGATGGCATAGTTTTGTACCCATTAGTGCACCAGTTTTCCTACCTCCTCCCTCTGATAACCATTATTCTACTTTCTACTTCTATGAGAACCCCTTTTATATTTTTTAGATTCCACATATGAGTGATATCACACAGTATTTGTCTTTTTCTGCCTGACTTAATTCACTTAACATGATGGTTTCCAGTTCCATCCGTGTTGCTGCAAATGATAAGATATCATTTTTGGGTTTTGTTTTTTAGTATCTGAGTAGTATTCCACTGTATATATACACTACAGTTTTTTTAATCCATTCATCTATCGATGGACATTTAGGTTGATTCCATCTCTTGATTATTGTGAATAGTGCTGTGATGAACATAGGAGTACAGGTGTCTTTTTGATATAATGATTTCATTTCCTTTGGGTTTATACCCAGTAGTGGGATACCTGGGTTGTAGGGTAGATCTATTTTTAGTTCTCTGAGGAAACTTCATACTGTTTTCCACAGTGGCTGTACCAATTTATATTCCCAACAACAAGGTAGGAGAGTTCCTTTTTCTCCACATCCTTGCCAGTATTTGTTATTTTTTGTCTTGTTGAAAGTAGCCATTCTGGGCCGGCCCCGTGGCTCACTTGGGAGAGTGCGGCGCTGATAGCGCTGAGGCCACAGGTTCAGATCCTATATAGGGATGGCTGGTGCGCTCACTGGCTGAGCGTGGTGCAGGCCACACTGTGCGAAGGGTTGTGATCCCCTTACCGGTCAAAAAAGGGAAAAAAAAAAAAGAAAGAAAGCAGCCATTCTAACTGGAGTGAGATGATATCTCATTGTGGTTTTAATTTGCATTTCCCTGATGATTATTGATGTTGAGTATTTTTTTCATGTGCCTGTTGGCCATTTGTATGTCTTCTTTTGAGAAATGTCTGTTCAGGTCCTTTATCCAATTTTAAATTGGGTTATTGGGAGGTTTTTTTCTGTTGAGTTAAATTCCTTACGGATACTGCAGATCAGCTCTTCGTCTGGTGTGTGGTTGGCAAACACTCTCTTTCATTCTGCAGGTTGTCTCTTTACTTTGTTGACAGTGTCCCTTGCTGTGCAAAAACATACAATGAGAAAAGGACAGCCTCTTCAACAAACAGTGCTGGGAAAACTGGTTATCCACATGCA